TTTTTTTTTTTTTTTTTTTTTGTCTTTTTTTTGAAACCGTCTCCTATAATCCTAGGTGATCTCAGACTTGCTATGTAACAGGGGCTGGCTCTGAACTCCTGATCCTCCTGCCTTTACTTCTCAGGTGATTGATAACAAGAATGTGCCGCCATGCCCAGGTGCACCTTTGCTTTGCAAGTGGAAAGGCTTCTTCAGATTCAGCCTAAATCAGTGTTTTGGCTTTGGCTTGGTGATGCTGAGGGCTTTAATCTGAAGCCTCTCACACCCTAGGCAAACACAGGACCACTCAGCCACATCTTCGGTCTAGTCAGTTGTTCTTTTTTTTGTTTGTTTGTTTTGTTTTGTTTTGTTTCTTGAGACAGGGTTTCTCTGTGGCTTTGGAGCCTGTCCTGGAACTAGCTCTGTAGACCAGGCTGGTCTCGAACTCACAGAGATCCGCCTGCCTCTGCCTCCCGAGTACTGGGATTAAAGGCTTGCGCCACCATCACCACAGTTCTCTTAACCTCTGAGCCATCTCTCCACCTATCTTTCCAATCTTGAGTCCAAAGTTTTGTGCCTAATTCACTTTCTATCCTAACGTGTTACCAACCCAAAATTATTTTTAGACTCAAAACATTTCCTTAGATAAACAACTTTATACACTTTACATCTTTTTTTCTTCGTTTTTGAATTTGTTAACAAGGAAGACTGTAACTATAACTATCTAGTCCTCAACTCCATCAGAGACCCGGGGGATAAAATATCACCTGAGTAAACAGGAAGTGCAGAGCAAACAACTTCCAAAACTATAGCAATGACAGAGACAGCTGTCTCTGCCTGGACAGTCACCCAAGTCACTACCACTGAGGCATCCATCTTCAGCCTACAGGCCTAGAGTATCTGATAGACATTTCTGTGAAGCAGGAATTTGAAGAACTTACCTACTTTGCCTTGGCAAAGTTTGGCAGTTGTATATTTTTGTCCAGTTTGTCCAGAATTCTGTTAGCAGTTGAAACAAGGGCAATTTCTTTGCCCAGGAGCTAACCTTGCCACAAAGGAATTCAAACCCCATATGGAGTTTCTTTGATACCTGTCATTTCTCCTTTGAAGTAGATGCCATATTTTGTAGATCTTTGAAGACCATCTATCTATTTAAAATATATTTCTGACCTTGAAAACATAGCTAACATGACTAAGTTATAGATGACTACTAACCTGTCTTTATTGTCCTAAATAGCTTTCAAGAACTAAAACTTTACATTTTTAAGTGAGCTGCATAGGTACAATACCTTAAACAAGAGTAGAAATTATATATATATATATAAACAAAATAACCTTAAATTTGTATGAATATATAAGAATTCATACCAATGTAAAATATTTGAGAATAGTGGTTGTTTAAAAGTAGACTTAACAATCCACTCTTTATCTCATCATTTCTGTAGTTTATCCCCTTCTCTCTCTTCAGAAAGTGATCCCTGAATCTAATCTGTTTTGTTTAGCTTTCTCCCTGACCATGACCATGAACAATTTGTAATCAACCCCCACCCTAAATGAGGACAAACATCCATAACCCACTGAACAACCAAAAATCACGCACCCCACCACTTGGGAATGTGGGCATCATAGTCTCTAGACTGCTGCCTGTTGTTTGTGGGTGATGGCATCGTTAAGAAACCTGAGAAAGTTGGGATAATGGTCAAATCCTGGGGAAACCTGCCATAACAATTGTCCAGGCTGATAAATGGGAAACCACGAGGCTTATCTGAAGCCCTGCCTTGAATAGTCTGTGAGGCTGGACCATCTCAGCCAACAGCCTTGAAGCTGTTCTGGATGCAGAACTCTGAGGGAACTGCAACAGAGGCATTCTGAGAGGCTGGATCACCTGGGCCACCTGTTTGTATTGGCGTCTGCTCCCCTTGCTCTGAAAACAAACTTTCAAAGGTAATATACATATCTGTGGACTGTTGTACACAAGTCATCCAAAGATGACTTTTTTGTTTTATTTTTGAACAGGCAAAATATACATCAGCTGCTTGTTTTTCTAGGTTTATTTCTTTGTCTGTAACCAAGATTTCAGGGGGCCCCCCCACCCCTGATCTAACTTGATCTCTGTCAACCTTGAATGAATCTAGCCTTTTGTTTTCTTTGGAAACAAAAGCATAACCTCTTCCCCAAAGCAATACATTTTCTGACTTTCATTTTGAAGCCAAGGCATCCCTGAAGTCTGTAAAGGCTCATTGAATTCTGCAGTCCCTTCCATAGTCCAGTGTCTGTCGGTAGCCACCGTACTCTGTTCACTAGCGTTCAAAAATTCAAAATGAGCAAAGCACATCTAAGGTCCAAACTTCCTGTGTTATGTTTTCCATCCTTGCATTTTTTTTTAATTTTTAAAGACTTCATTATTTTAAATTTTTTTCAATGACTGTTTATGCCTATTTTTTCTTTGTTCAGGATCTAAGCACATTTTTAAATATACTGTATCTTTTTAGAGGTGTTTTGTGTCTGGACCTGGCTTTATTAAGCACCTGTGGTGTTTCCTGACCACGAGAGACAAATCTTAAGCTGCCATGTCAGCTGCTGCATGACTCAGCATACAGCATGGTGCTGGCACATGGCATTGGTGACTGGCTCCAGACTGCAGGCCATGCCTTGGTATGCGGCCAAGCAGCAGCCCACTTGAGAGACTGCAGGACAAAGAAGCTACATCTGACTCCTTGTCGAGAACTTTTCTTTACTTTCCCAGGACCTGTTTAGATATTTGAGCCCCATATTGGGCTCCATATATCACAAATTTTTCTTTGGGTCACCAGCTCACAAAAAAATGACAGATTCTTATTAATTATGAAAGCTCAGCCTATAGCTTAGGCTTGTCTACTAGCTCTTATAACTTAAATTAACCCATTTATATTAATCTATATTTTGCTTCATGATTTTTTACCTCTCTTCCATCTTGCACCTCCTGTTTCCTCTCCGTGTCCTCTGGCGTCTCTCTCAGGCCTGGATTCATCTCCTCCTCCTCTCTCTCTGCCTGGAAGTCCTGCCTAACCTCTTCCTGCCTAGTTCTTTATTTAAACTAATCAGGAGGCTCCTTGGCAAAGATACATCTTCACAGTGTACAAAAAGATTATTCCATAGCAACCCTCTTCTGGTCTCTGTGGGGACCACGCACGCATGTGGTGTACAGATATTCATGCAGGCAAAACACCCATCCACCTAATTTTTAAAAGTTACAGTTAGTGGTGGCACACTCCTTTAATCCCAGCACTTGGGAGGCAGGCAAGTGGATCTCTGTGAGTTCAAGGCCAGCCTGGTCTACAGAGCGAGTGGACAGCCAGAGCTAGAGAGAGACATCCTGTCTCAAAGTTCCAGTTAAAAAATGCACATGGACTTGGAGTTGAAAGGAAACGGGAAGCCAAAGATCAAATTCTGCTGGGAAAGTTCTGAGCCACAGCACACAGGAGATGACAGCAGAAAGCCCCGTAAATCAGGTGGAGTTGAGAGATGGCCTTGATTTTAATAAGCTACCCTGAGTTGTGGTTTTGTTTATATTGGGGGGGAGGAGTTGAGACAATCCTGACTGTCCTGCTTTGTAGACCAGACTGGCTTCGAACTCACAGAGATCCTCCTGCCTCTGCCTCCCAAGTGCTAGGTTTAAAGGCATGTTCCATCATGCCCAGCATCTAAGTTGTTTTGTTTTTATGATTTTTAAATCTAGATGTATAGATGGTTGAGAGCTCTAAGGGTGCTGGGAACAGAACCCAGGTCATCTGTCAGAGCTGTAAGTGCCCTTACCCGTGACCCATCATTGTTCCAGTTTTTTTTTTTTTTTTTTTTTTTTTTTTTTGAGACAGGGTTTCTCTGTGGTTTTGGAGCCTGTCCTGGAACTAGCTCTTGTAGACCAGGCTGGTCTCGAACTCACAGAAATCCTCCTGCCTCTGCCTCCCAAGTGCTGGGATTAAAGGCCTGCGCCACCACCACCCGGCTTCATTGTTCCAGTTTTAAAGACTTATTTAGACCAAGCCTGTCTTTGAACTTGTAAAGCTGAGAGGGATAGCAGGACTGATCCTCTTGCTTCTACCTCCCGAATGCCAAGATTATAGTTGTGCAGCCCCATACACCTGGTTTTATGCAGTGCTGGGGATCAAACCCAGGACTCAATGCGTGCTAGGTAGACACTATAGCAACTCAGCTACATCCCCAGTCCCGTAAAAAGTAGTTTTTTCAACCATGGCAATGTGAGCAGAGTTTGGGTTTTGTTTGCATGAAGGAACTGGAAGTTGTTAGCTGAGTGACATGAAGTTTCCATAATTCCTTATTTTAAGTTACTTTGTACACACTGACCGTTCAAAGTTAGTCCGTGCTGGAGACCATGACAAGTTACCACAGACTGGCTGAAACAGAAACTATTCTCCTCAGATCTGGAGGCTGGGAGATCAGAATGGCAGCATCTTGCTTTCTGGTGAGAGCTCTTCCTGGCTTACATGAAGGGAGCTGGAGCCTTATTTTTCCTTCTTACAAAGGTGCTGATCCCACTGGGGCCCCACCTGTGTGATTCCACTCAGCCTGGGTCACCTGTTCAAGACCCCCACATCTGCATTCATGCCATTGAGTTTGTAGTTCCAACACGGGAGCTGTGAAGTCTGCAGCAGTTTGGGCTTCTCCAGGTCAGGAGCCACTGAATGGAGCACCCTCTAGAAAGCAGATGACCTTCCCCGTCTTTCTACAATACAAACTTGGATAAACAAAAATGAGTGTTTGACTTTCACCTAAGGGCTGCAAGGTGTCCACGCCCAGTAGGTGGAGTTGGGAAGGCCTTTCCTAGGTGGGTGTGGTCACAGAAAGGCCTGCCCTGGGAGTTCACTGCCTTGTCTGTGGGGAGTGGGGCACTTCGACTTGAGTGGTTTGCAGTTCTGGAGACTGAGCCTAGCTAGAGCTAGGCAAGTTCTCAGCTGCCTCCCCAGCTTCACATTGTCCAGGCTGATCTTGACCTTTCCATTCTCCTGCCTCAGCCTCCCAAGTAGCTGGCTTTACAAGCTTGTACCACCAGGCCCTACAAACTTGAGTTTTGAGTGACTTTCCAGAACCAGCTGGCCTTTGCCTGGTTTGGTTTAGTGTGTGTGTTCACATATGTGTGGATATATCTGCAAGTGGGTACAGGTGTGTGTATGTGAAGGTCAGAGACAGACATCAGTGGGACCTTTTTCTTCTTTTGTTTTTTTTCTTTCCTTTTTTCTTTTGAGACAGAGTCTTCACTGAGCCTGGAGGTTTTTTATTTCCATTGCTCAAATGGAAATTGCTCGGGAAGTTTAGGCTATCCACTGATCTGTGACACTCCCTCCCGTGTAATAATGAGGAGCGGCTGTGGGCCGCTTCCCACCTGGCTCCCATATGCCCTTGCCTGTCTAGCTTAGCCCCCGAAATAATTACACAGAAACTGTATTCATTTAAACACTGCCTGTCCCAGTAGTTCTAACCTCTTATTGGCTAACTCTCACATCTTGATTCAACCCATTTCTAATATATCTGTGTATCACCACAGGCTTGTGGCTTACCGGGAAAGATTCAGCATGTCTGACCTGGCAGCTTCCTGGCGGGCGGCTCTCTCTGACTCTGCTTTCTTCCTCCCAGAATTCTGTTCTGTCTTCCCCGCCTACCTGAGTTCGCCCTATCAACTAGGCCAAGGCAGTTTCTTTATTCAACCAATGAAAGTAACACATGACAGAAGACTCTCCTACACTCCTGTGAACTGATAAGCATGTGCCACGATGCCTGGCTTTTACGTGGGTGCTGAGGGATGCCAACTTCAAATCGTCCCAGCACTTTACCCACTGAGCCGCCCCCAGGCCCACAAACCTGGTGCTGAGCCTCCATAATGCTTACACTCCATGACAGTTTTGTGAAGCATGAAGTTAACTGTGACAGAACTTAGCCGTGAACTGCGAGCTATTTGCTAATTGTTTTCTGTTGGCCAGAGCAGGCAGTCCCGGTGCTTGGTTGTTGGGGGCTGTAGACCCCAAGACCCTAAATTTCTTTTAAACAACTTGTTTTCCCTGGCTCTGAGCAGCCTGCAGCTGCTCTGAGCACGAGACCTTGATGACAGGGGAGTGGTTTCTGGTGGGCCTGCAACTGAACGATCCCGAGAGCTGGGGCGTGGGCAGAGCCCTATATAAACTGCCCCTGCGCACAATAAAGTTGGCATTCTTGTACCAAGAATGACCCGTGTCCCCGTGTGTCCCTGTCTGTTTGTGTGCCTAGTTCCCGACTTGTGTACCATAGAGCACAGAGCAACACAGCTTTTTACGCTTGGTTTCAGTTTTGTACAGTTGACAGCCAAGACATGGCCAGCCTGCTTCCTTTACCCTGCCACCTCCGTCTTGCCACCACTAGAGAGTTATCGGCCATTGTGGATAAGTATTGTGCCCCTGACTGCTCTGAGACACTTCCTCCATCCTGTCACTTCGGAAGCTTCTGGCAGTTGGCCTGGGGACAGTGAAGACACCAGCACTCAGAGTGGCATCATCTCACTATCTTCTTTGACTCACAGGGTCTCACTGCGTGTTTGAAAGCAGATGAGTGGTCAGCAGGGACCTCTGGCCACATTAGCCCTGGAGGTATGGTGTGTGTGGGGCTGCTTGGTTGTCCTATGAGACCAGCAGATGGCAGGGCCCTGCCTGTGACTATGATCTCAGGCAACACGCTGACCAGCAAGCTATAAACCATGTGGCACTCACTGGTTTCCTTGACCCAGGTGTCTAACCAAGGTTAGTAACACAAAGCACCCTAAAATGCCATGCCAATTCTTTGCTTGTCAAGTCTAGCTGATCAAAGAACAATGTCTTGCAGCTCGTCTCACCAGGCAGGGTGTCCCCGACCTCTGGTCACAGTCTTACACCAGAAACCTTGAAACTTTGTGTTGCCATGGGAAATGGCTCTGCCCTTAATGCTTACCCAAGGAATGTGCTATGACCAATGAGATGTGACCCTTGTGACGTTTTTGTATTGCTTCAAACCTCCCGTAAAAAGTGTTTCTGAAGTTAGATGGAAAGAGAAGCAAGGAGAAATGAGACAGAATTAGAAAAAGATTTAGAACTATAGAATTGGAACTAAGGAGTTAGAGCGAAGAAATGATAGACAATTAGGACAGGAGAATTAGAATCAAACAAGAATAAAAGAAAATGGCCCTTCAAATCCTGTGTGAAGTTATTATAGACATCTTGCAATCCTTGCTCTTAAAGAAGTGTTTCTCTGAGTTACCTGAGTAGTGGCCTGGGAATTAGACTTCCAGACTGCTAAAGACAGGACAATGGGTTGCAAGATGTGATCTAGTAAAGGGACATAGCTAGCTACAGACACCTTTGGGACGAGTGACAAAATCTAATTGGCCAGTATGATTTTGCTGATAGTATTTTCTCCAAGGTGACTGTGTTTTTGTTATTGGGGTTTTTTGTTGTTGTTGTTTGTTTTGTTTTGTTTTTTTGAGGCTCTGTGTTAACAGTCCTAGTTGTCCTGGAACTAGCTCTTATAGAGCAGGCTGGCCTCAAACTCACAGAGACTTGCCGGCCTCTGCCTCCCAAGTGCTGGGATTAAAGGTGTGCACCACCACCACCCAGCTGTGATTGTGTTTTGAAGAAATATTGGACAGGACTGACAATGTGGCTCAGGTTTGCTTATCATGCATAAGACCCTGGTTCAACCCCAGTACCAGAAGAAACAGGTCAAAGTTCTATCCAGTAAACACACAGGGATGTGTTTAAAATAAGGGGCATAACTGTCTCCAGTAGAATCCCGGATGACTCAAGGTACCAAACATAACACATATCCCTATTCATCCAGATGTGTGGCAATTGGAATTCCCATATAATTCTTGCAGTCTTCCCTAAATTGGAAAATAATTTTTTCAAATGATTGGGAAAGCCCTGGTAGGTTCTCCTGTGGTGATGACGACACAATCTGCTCTCTTCTGCAGAAATTCCCTTAAAATCACACTACCCTACTTCCCCTGAGCACAGCCCAAGCCAGCGTTGCTGGCTCCCTACCCAGGTTGGCTGTTGGTGGAAGGACATCGAAATCCAGCAGACAAGGAGACATCAAGCTCCCTTGTAACTTGCATGGCAGGCCTCTGAACACCTGAAATATAGGGGCGGTGAACCAGGCAGGTGCCAAAGCATCATAAGGTTCATTTTACACTTTATTAACATCTTTATGTATGTACCAGGAAAGCTTTCAGGGTATGTCTCTCCCACCCCATGGTCCTACTGGCCTCCTCCCATCGTGGGTTCAGGTTTGCTCCAGTACAACTTCTGTGTCATCACAGGTGTTTGCTGTCTCTTCCAGTGGTGGGCTGAGAGGAACCCGATCCTGGGACAGATTGGAGAGAAGCCTGGAGCCAGACTTTGCAGAAGTGTCAGTGTCTTGAGAGAATTCACGAAAGGAGGGCTGTGGAGAGATCCTGGAGTTCTCGCGCGATCGCGGCTGAAAGACAGAAGTAGCGGACGATACGGCCATGGATGCAACCCTTGAGTTCTTTCCTGACTGGATCAGAGACAAGATCTGTGAGCTCCGTTGCGAGAGACTCAGTGATGGGACTCGGGATCCCGGACGTGATGAACCCACGGGAGCAATCACAGACCCAGCCCTCAGAGACGGGACCAGAGAAGAATCATAGGATGTTACAGAAGAAGTCTTGGACGGTCGGTGTGACTGGGCCACCGATGGGGTGCGGGAGGCCACACGTGATTGGCCAATAGTTGTAAGGGATGATTCCAACGTGGAGTCAGGTGACCCGATAAGCAAGTCAGGTTGGTGGGTTTGGGACGGATACCAGAGTGGAGGCCCCCCGGGGCCCCTGTGCAGCCAGCCATGCACACGCTGCAGGTTCCGCGTGTTCTCATGATCCCTGTGCAGCTGCTCCCGCTGCTCTAGCAGCTGTTGTCTCAGGTCCTGCAGTAACTGGGCCCGGTGGAGAAGCCTCAGGAGTTCAAGTCGGAGACGCCCATTGTCCATCTTGATGGCCTGTGTGTGAGCAATGAGGGCACGCGCCGCCTCCCGCTCTGAGCGGCGCGTCACGGAGTGCACGTGCAGGCGTGCCTCGCGCTCACAAGCAGCCTTGTCATCCAGGAAGCGTTGCTTCACCCGGTGGAGGAGCTGCGTGTGCTCCACGCGCATGTGCAGCAGCTCGCGCTCCAGGGTCCGGATTCGTGCCAGCTGCTCCAGCTGCAGTTCCTGTAGCGGGGGACTCTGGATGAGCGGACCGGTGGGAGCGCGCGCCCATCCCTCTCGACCCCGCCCGGTCCGCGGGGGCGCGCTCACTGGCCTTGTAGGGCTGCAGCTCCAGCACCCGCTGGGTCATGTTTTCCGCGCGCGTTTTCATTTCCAGCAGCTGTGCACGTACCCCGTTCTCGCGCTCTTGGTAAAGCGACGCCAGCTCGGCTCGTTGCCACCGGATCTGTGCCAGGTCCACGCGGTTCTGGTCCTCGAGGCGCACGATGGTGTTGGCGCAGCGCTGCGCGTGCGCGCTCACATAACTGGCATAAAGCCGGTTTTCATCGCGCAAGCGCAGGGCCTCGCTGTCCAGGAATTTATTGTTCTGTAGTACCTCGTCCACCCGCTGCTCACAGGACACCAGTTTCTCTGAGAGCAGCGAGTATTCGCGTTGCAGGTACTGCGCGCGCTCGGAGAGTGGGACCTCAGCGTTCTCGCCCGTCTGCTTGCGCCCAGCGCTTGGTCCGCGCTTCTTCTTGGGCGCCATGGCTTGAGGCTGGGGCCAGCTGGACTCATGAGAGCACCGTGCCCCACCAGCTCCCTCAGCTCAGCTAGCCCCCCCTTCCTTACCCCTAAAATTCTGGAGAACTACACCCTAGGTTCAGGAATGCCTCTTCAGTTCATAAGATTTAGAGCAGGCAGGATTAGAGATCAGAAAACATCGTGTCCATCCTGTACCTGAGGGCTCCCTCCAGACATCGGCTGTCGCATCCTGGCGTGTATGTCTAGGAATGTTGATGTCCAGCCTGCGCAACCTCTATGGAGACAGAACTTAGTCGCTGTCCCCCACCCACCCCATTCCGTTGCTCTGGCAACAGCTTGATTCAATCTTTCATTCCTTGCTGTTTCTTATATCCTTGCATGACTGCAGGGATATAGTCGTAGTCAGGCAAGCGTTCAGTTTCAAGACATTGAACTAAGTTCCAAGTCCCCATCCTCTACTCACCAGGAGCTTTCTGCTCTTACTGTCATCCCACCAGGGACTCTTTGCCATGCTCCTCCATCCAGCTTCCAGCGAGCACTTGCCCGCCTGTCCTTATGAAGTCTACCTGCTCTCAGTATGAAGCCTGTCCACACAGCATTTCTAAGGGGACTCTTGGTATCCGAGGCCTTGGCGGAATGGGACTGCTGGGAGACGTGAAGCTCTTTTGGGTACAGTGCATGATAAACATCGATCCTCACTTCATCATCTGAGTACTGGAGACTCAGTAGCAAAAGTGATATTTTACTTCCAACCTTGCAAAATCTCCACATCCTATAAAAAAAAAGACAAAAATGGCTATAAATTTGGCTTAAAACGGTGTTTTTTATATTCCTAATGAAAGGGAAAGTATTGGCTTAGGACCCCCAAGGGCCACGTTGTAAGCATTACAGCTCAGATGGAAAGCCATCCTGGAAGTCAGGAGCCAAGGAGTACCACAAAGTCAGCTTAAGTTTAGCAGTTAAAAGCCCTGCTCCAAGGAAAGGTTTCCCCAATGTAACAGCTCTGCTTCGGCAGGGGAGAGTTTCCTCACTTTGCTCAGGTCCCCTGGAGTGTAGCAACTCTGGTCTGCTAGAGGGAATGTTACCGTTCTGCTCCATTCAGCACTCAGGCTCCAGCGAAAAGTTGTTATTTCTCTGCTCTGCTCTACTCTGGAGAAAGAAGGGCATCATCCAAACTTCCTTCAAAAGATTTATTAAAAGGAAGGAATTCAGGAGGGGGGGGGGACTGCCTCTGCCACGTTGCCAGCAGCACACTGAACTGCACAGGACTTATATGAGGTTTCTTAGGGGTGGAGTTTTCCCAGGATGAAGGTTTTCAGGGTGGGAGTTGGTCAGACTTCAGTCCCCAAGCTTGGACAAGCTCAGAGTGGCTAGGTTTCGTGGTCAGGGGTTGGTTGGTTTTCCTGCTCAGGGAATGGTTGGTTTTTGTATTGAATTCTGCTATGGGACAATTGCCTTTTATCCTGTCACTTATATTGCTTTTAATAAAACACTGATGAGCCTAGTATCTCAGGGTTTTTTTTTTATTAACTCTTATAACTTATATTAGCCCATAACTCTTGTCTGTGTTAGCCATATGGCTTGGTACCTTTTTCAGTGAGGCAGTCACATCTTGCTTGCTCTGTGTCTGGCTTCCTCTCTGGGTGAGGACTGAAGACTGAAACTTCTCTCTTCCCAGAATTCTCATTGCCCCGCCTCTACTTCCTGCCTGGCTACTGGCCACTCAGCATTTTATTAAAAATACAAGTGGGAGGATAAAAGACCATTGTCCCACAGCACTCCCCGCCTTTGTTAAAAAAAATAAGAACTCTGAATCTAATATCCTTTGTTTATTTTTTTTCTCCTGACCATTATCCATAACAATGTGTAACTAACATTCTAAGCAAAGGAAAATATCTGTAGTCCATTTTTTGGTAATGTGGGCATAGTTTTCCAGGCTACTTTCTGATGATTGGGGGTGCTGATAATCTTATGGGGACCTAAAGAAAATGATTAAGTCATGACTGGAGTATCCTGTGAGGCTTGATCATCTCAGGCAGCAGTCTTGAATCTTTTCTAGATGCAGAACTCAGACATCTGGGCCATCCACTCACCAGAGATTTCTCAGGTGGTCTTCCTTGATCAAACCTGATTTTTCTTAACTCAGATTGAATCCACAGCTTCTCATTTCCTGCAGAAACAAAAACAAAACCTCTTCTCCAAGGTAACATACCTTTTGATTTAAATTTTGAAGTTAAGGCATTTTCAAAATATATATGTTGGATTAATCCAGCAGCATTTATAATAAAGTATCTTTTAGCAGCTCTTGTTCCTTCCTCAGCCGTCAATTTAAAAACAGTATCCAGACTCTCTGTGTATTTTTCATCTTTACGTGGCTTTATTTTAAACTCTATTTTTATTTTTAATTTTTGCTTTTTTGAGACAGGGTTTTTCTGTGTATCTTTGGCTGTCCTGGAATTCACTCTTTAGACCAGGTTGTCCTTGAACACACAGTGATTGTCCTGCTGCCTCCGCCTCCAAAGTGGTTGTCCTTGATCTCACAGAGATCCCACTGCCTCTCCCTTCCACTCTCTCTCTCTCTCTCTCTCTCTCTCTCTCTCTCTCTCTCTCTCTCTCTTTTACTTTAAGGACTTTATCCTTTTTTCCCCAAGCCTACTTATATTTTTAAACACACACCATTTAGAGGTTTTTTTCATCTTTGAATCTATCCTTACTGTATATCTTTCTTTTTCTGACCACATGAATCTTTAATTTGCTAAGCAATATGGCTAGAATTAAAGCCGTGGCTTTGATGGCTGGATTCAACCCATTTCTTAGCTTTTTTTCTGACAGTCTAGTCTCATGGCAGAGGTACTGGCTGGAGCCATGTTAGTTGCTACAGCTCTATGTGAGGGGCATTAAGAACTCATTCATGAATCACGGACAAGCAGGAGGTACTAGGCTCCTGTCTTCCCTAGCTATCAGATGGTACCTTCTTACCTGGGTCCTTTTTGTTTGTCCCGTTTGTTTGGCCTGTGTAAAGGAAAAGGGGAGGGGATCTTGAGTCCCAGAAGAATGGGAAATTTGCTATTCCCAGAAAAAAATATTTTTTAAGTTACAATATTTTAAGTAAAGAAACTTACACGGTTACTTTAGAACTATTTCCCCCACTTTCCTCTGAACGCATAGTTTCCTGTGTTCTGCTTAACAAACTCAGCAATCCCAATAAAGCCATGTTCTAGGTCTCCTGGCCCCTCTCCCCCTGGCCCCCCGCCCCGTAGTAGAATTTTTGTGGGACCTGGAGCTAATTAGGCAGGGAAGGCTGGCTAGCTCCAGAGATCCACCTGTCTCCACCTATAGGCAGTGAGACTGCAAATCAGCACCACCATGCCCTCCCTTTTTTTCCTTGTCTTTTTTTTTTTTTTTTTTTTTTTCATGCCCAGTTTTTTATATGGTGCTGGGGATTGAGCTCAGGTCCTTTGGTCCTCAGGCCTGCACGGTGACTGAGGTGGTACATGAGATTCTTCTCCAAACGCTGGCAAATAATGACGAATAAAAACTCTTTCACAACTGTGTGTGTCCAGTTCTGGCTTAAGTCCAAAGAGAAACTGGCCTCGAACAGAAATTCTTTGCAGCTAGCGTAGGTTGTCTGTAAATCTCTTTAGGGCTCCAGCTCCAAGATGCACTTTGTGCTATTTAAACATGTCTTACACAAAGTGCAAGCTTGGCCATTGCGGACAGATGGGATGTTGGCACAGCAAAGATAGGTCGCAGTTATTTGGAAATAGGTAGGCCAGGGTTGTTTTTAGGTTATCATTAACCAGGGTCTGCCTGCCTGCCTGGCAGAATTACACTCCTTTTGATATGGGAATAGATCCTAATGGACAGTCTTGGTGAACAAGTCTTAATAAGAATAGACCCTCAGTAACCCTCGACTCTGAGTACTAGAGCAGAGCTCTATGTTTCTTTCTTTTTCTTTCTCTCTCTTCTTTCTTTCTCTCTCTTCTTTCTTTCTTTCTTTCTTTCTTTCTTTCTTTCTTTCTTTCTTTCTTTCTTTCTTTCTTTCTTTCTGACATTGTCTCTCTGTGTAGCCCTGGTTGTCCCGGACCTCACTCTGTAGGCCAGGCTGGCCTAGAACCCAGAGATCCTCCTACCTCTGCTTCCCAAGTTCTGGGATTAAAGGCGTGCGCCACCACGGCCCAGCCTAAACTCGGGGTTTCTTATCTTTCTGTAATACCTAAGAAGTCTGACTAAAACACCACTTATCTCCAGCATATTGAAGGCAGTGCTCCTTAGCTAAATTCTACTTTTTATTGAAAAGTTCTTTGTGACATCACTTCCTTCATCACAGCCACTTTGCCTACTGAGCTATCTACCTCTCTAGCCCCGGTAGCGGCATTATTATTCCCCAGGATGCAGGAGGAGCACACTGTCCCTGCCAGGGGTCAGTGGTTATCCATCCCAGCAATTGCGTGATCAGACTTCACAGTACCGCCGGATAGTCATTATTCTTTGGCCATTGGTTGCCACAGGCCCGAGTTGTCTGCTGTCGCTGTTGATGGCAGGTATTTAGTGAATCAAGGTGAAAAGGACAGGAAAATCTGAAAAATTCTTTACTATTATAGTTTTAAATTTTTTTGTGTGTTTTGCCTGCCCGTATGTCTGTGTGAGGGTGTCGGATCCCCTGGAACTGGAGTTGCAGACAGTTGTGAGCAGTCATGTGAGTGCTGGGAATTGAACCTGGATCCCCTGGAAGAGCAGCCAGATGTTCTTCACCACGGAACCATCTTTCCAGCCCTGAGAATCTCTCTCAAAAGCTGTGGCACATGGTCACTTAACTCCCCAGTCCAGTAAATAAATGATGACAATAATAGTTTCTTTTGTGTGTTTGAGGTTTTAATTTTTCTAGTAATTCACTTTCACTGTATTTCACACAATTATCGATCTACAACCTATTTAAAGCTTGCTAAAAATGCTGGTCCCTGGCACGCTGACAATCTGCCAGAGAATGGGAGAGTTCAGTGCGCTGCCTGATTCTCTGCTGTTCCCCAAGTGGCGCTAGCCCAGTACCTCGGTGTCACCTGGTCCCTCCAATGTCTAAGATCTAATGCATGCAGATGAGCTGGTATTCACCCAGGCTCATACACAGTTCCTGCCCTTACTCTGTGTACAGCTCAGCTCTTGATGGGCCCTGCTCATGTGACCCTGAGCCATGCTAAAAACAATCCTTCACTATAAGTGACTGGAGCATACCAAGATCAGTTCCCAAGCCAACAGATCAACAGGTCCAGCACCGAGAAGGAGTCTGTGAACGCCAAGAGCCTTCCCTAGAGCATCTGGTGGAAACAAGAGAAGGGCCCTGGAAGTAGGTGATTGATAGGTGAGCGAAACATCGGAATCATTGTCCCTGTGGCTGTTGGGGGCCCTGGTGGTCACCAGCCTTTGGGTATGAGGTTTGTGAGCATTACCCGGTTTCCTTAAGGAAAATGAGGCATAGTAGCTTGGGGGAGGCATAATAGGCATCTTCCAGTTTTTGTTCTGTTGGGATTTGGGGGATGGAACTTTGGGATTCCTGCCTGCTAGGTAAGGGCTCTGCCACTAAGCCACACACCCTGCATTCTAGGTCTCTCTGATCAGCCAAGGTCCGCCACCCTTCCCACATCCAGACTAAGACTCCAGCAGCCCAGATCCACTTTCATGCAGTGTTTCCTGCTCTTGTGTGGTGTCCCCAGCCTAGCATAATCGCAACCTCCTCCCTCACAACAATGACCCAGTGCCTTGGTCCTCTGGGTGGCCCAAACCTTTGGTCTCCATCCAACTCCCCCGACAAGCAGGCCTGGAACCCCAAACACATTGGACTTACTCCCACTTGGCGCCTTTCCCAGTCACCAACTCTAGCGCTCTTCTACCCGGGACCAGGGCACCCGCCACGCCCTGACCTTGTCGTCTTTTCATCCACTCTTGTATCCAACAACTTCGTTCCTGAGAGAGCCAGGCTCTGAATGCCCGACGCTCAGCTTCCTCTGCAGCCTAGACGTGCCCAACCCAGTGGCTGGCAGCCGGCGATGCTGCTATGCCCAGGGCATTCGGGGATAGCCTTCCCACCCCAACCCCCACCCCGCGAGGAGCACTGACCAGGGGACCCAAGCGGACAGGTGGAGCTGGCTACAAACCCCGCCCATTGGCGCAAGCGCAGGGAGACACACCGCGGCCGCCGTTCCCAAGCCAACGGATCAACAGGTCCAGCACCAAGAAGGAGTCTGTGAACGCCAAGAGCCTTCGCCTGCCTCTCTCCATGTGTGCTGCCGAGGTGGACCGCCACGTAGCCCAGAGATACCTGATCAAGCGAAGGCTTGGGAAGGGGGTGAGCGCAGGGACGCCCCGTCATCCGAGGGGCACTGCAGTCACCTGGGGGTCTGGTCGGCCCCCCCTCAAGGTCTAGTTCTTCTGACACGGGATGCTGGCTTCTAGGCTCGCGTCCTGCCTCCTCCGAGGCTCCTGGACCCACGTTTCCATAAGGAAACTGGGTAACACTCAGGGACCTCGCCCAGGAATGCAGGTGACTGCCAGGGTCCCCAGGTCGCAGGAGGAGTTGTATTGGTGCTCCGCCCACATCCCCTACCTTTCTGGATTCCCATAGGCTGCTCTGGGTAAGCCTGGCCTTTTCCAGTTTCTGAGGGTGAAGGGCTTCTCCCAGCATTGCTCAGGAGCACATAGCCAGGTTCAGGAAGTCTGAGTATGGGTTCACAGGATGAGAGTAACTGTGTGTGAAATTGGGTGTATTCATGATTGTAATTGGGTCTGAGCAGATGGGGCTGTATGCGCGAATGTGTGTGATCGTGGGGGTGTGTTCTGTGTATCGTGGAGGGGAACAAGCAAACAGCAATTGCAAAGGCCCCGAGGCAAAGATCTGCTTGGCTGGTGGAGACACACTACATTTTTATGCGTGGAACCAGGCGGAGATGGGAGAGAGCAACGGTGATGGCTCCCGTGGTGTGGAAGGGATCGGGGCACCTCCAAGACGTTGCCTTTCGATCGACGAGCTGTAGCAGCTGCTCCTAACATTCACTTTACAAAGCTCACCCTGCCTACTCTGGCGAGGCTCGGTGGCAGTGATGGGTGGGGGCGGCAGAGAGAGTAGACAGCCAACCCACAGGAGATGTTGGAAGTGTGCGCAGTGCACAGCAGGGCAGGGAGGGAAGGGCCCCGTCAGGCCCTGGCTACGTTCTGCAGGTCAAGTTGATAGGATTTGCTAAGCAGATGGCGTGGGAGTGTAGAGAAAGATAGTGAGAATGTGCGGGGAGGTGGAGGGGCCAAAGGTCATTCCAGAGACAGCCCAGTAGTACCCACTATGGCCTCATGTCCTGGTAGGAACCTCTCCAGTTCTCATCCTCCCTCCCCTCCCCCACTCTAGAAGATGCTGCCCTTATGTAGGTTCTGCTGCTCCAGGTCTTGTCACACTTTAACCCCTCCCAGAATCCAGGGCTGGGCGGTGTGTGTTTGTGTGTGTGTGTGTGTATGTGTGTACACATATGTTCAGCAAGCTGACTGTGTGTTCCCCAGGCCTATGGCATTGTGTGGAAGGCAGTGGATCGGAGGACTGGTGATGTAGTGGCCATCAAGAAAATCTTTGATGCCTTTAGGGACCAGACAGATGCTCAGGTGGGTGAGCAGGGAGGGTCTCTGGGGAGGTGTGGTGAGCTGTGGGAGGGGCCTGGCACCGCAAGTTTCCTGGCATTTCTGTTTCTTACAGAGAACCTTCAGGGAAGTCACGCTTCTCCAGGTAAGAGGCCCAGGCCATCCTGCCGCTTCCCTTCCCTGGGTGCAAGTCCCCACAGACAAGGGAGAAGCTGGCCCTACTGGCCCCGAGCGCAGCCTTGGCCCCACAGCAGCAACAGTCTGTCTTCCCAGGAGTTTGGGGACCATCCTAACATCATCCGCCTGCTTGACGTGATCCCAGCAGAGAATGACAAGGATATTTACCTGGTGTTTGAGTCCATGGGTGAGTGAGGCCTTGGCCAGACCCCAGCCCTGCTTAAGCAGCCTGGCTCCTTTCTGATATTCCTATGGCCCCTGGCCCACGCTGTATCTGTCGCTTCCATCTGCCCCCTGAACCTGAGCATAAAGCTGGTGAGGTTTGACTCTCAAAGATTAGCACTGACCCCCCCCCTCCCCTGACCCTGCCTGCACTGGCCTGGTGGTGGCTCCCCATTTTGTCCCTTCTGCACCGGACTCTTGCTCCGCCCTCATTTGCTGTGTTCTGTGTTCTCCTTTTCCCCACTCAGTTTGTAAAACAAGAACATGGAATAGGATGAAAATAATTCCGTAGACCATTCTGGTTGCACTGACAGTGAAGATAGATTCGGTAGCCGGGTAGCCAGGCAGAGAGAGCCCAGGATGGGCCGGGGGCTGGTGCAGGCTCAAAGCGGTACAGACCTGCACTCTTCACCCTCCAGACTGACCTGCGTATCCTTCCCAGACACCGACCTGAACGCGGTCATCCAGAAGGGCAGACTACTGGAGGATATCCACAAGCGGTGCATCTTTTACCAGCTCCTGAGGGCCACCAAGTTTATCCACTCAGGGCGTGTCATCCACCGGGACCAGAAGGTTGGGTCCACACTGTGCCCACAGGTCCCTGGCCCCACCGTGCCCCGGGGCCTAGTGGGTCTCAAGCCCGTTCCTCTCTCCAGCCAGCCAACGTTCTACTGGATGCTGCATGCCGGGTGAAACTCTGTGACTTTGGCCTGGCACGCTCCCTGAGTGACCTCCCTGAGGGACCTGAGGGCCAGGCCCTGACGGAGTATGTGGCCACACGCTGGTACCGCGCTCCAGAGGTTCTTCTTTCTTGCCGATGGTAACAGCTGGAGACCCAGTCTACCTTGTCCCTTCAGATCCCATAGAGTACCCTGCATCCTGGTCCTGCGGGGCCCACCTGAATACTCACTGCCCTTTCCCTGAGCTCCCATTCTGCCTCTGATCCTTGCCCTTGCACACACCCCTTCCTGCCCCCAGGTACACCCCTGGGGTGGACATGTGGAGCCTGGGCTGCATATTGGGAGAGATGTTTCGGGGGCAGCCGCTGTTTCCTGGCACCTCTACTTTCCACCAGCTGGAGCTGATCCTGGAGACCATCCCGTTGCCCTCCATGGAGGGTGAGCATGTACACACTGAGGTCCCAACCTCAGCAGCCTGTCCCTAGGCATGGGTTGATGAGAGCCCAAGGGCACAACTGTGGAAGGGTCCCCGGTACTGTGCAGAGGAGAGAGTCATTTGACCCGGGAACACTGAAAAGGGTCCCGTGGATGGAGGGCCCAAGAGCAGCTCTGGAGCCTGGTGCAGAGCGGCAGAATTGGTCACAGGACAGTGCACGCCAGCAGTGACAGGAAGGGGCTGATAGTGCAGACCGTCCAGGGGAACAAGAGTGCTGTGTCTGTGCTGGCTGCTGAGAGCAGCGGTTTTGCAGAGGGGCATGGCGAGAGGGAGACACCTCTCAAGGCCGGCTGGGTGCCGGTGTACTCTTTGGGTAGGACCAAAAGGAGGTGTGACCCCAGCATCCTCTATGTGAACATGTTGAGAGTGTGTGATTTCCAGGTAAGGCACAGCTATGGGCACTCACCTGGACCTTCTAGACCACAGACTCTGTGAGAGGTTATTTAAATATGTGGCCAGAAGGAATGGCTGCCCACCCCCTCCCAAGCCTGCCTGCTCATGCCCGTCTTCCACCCATCCACAGAGCTCCAGGGCCTTGGCTCAGACTACAGTGCTTTGATTCTGAAGAATCTTGGGTCCAAGTGAGTGGAACTTTTAGGTGTGGGGGAGGGGTGGCAGGTCGCAGGAGGGGGCCACCATGTTGCAGCTGGCACATGAACCAGTTTGTACCAGCCCAGAGCTGCAGCGCTCATTCTCTGACTCTTAAAGCTTTAGTTATGAGAGGAAAAAAAAAAGGACAAAATCCAGGAGACTGACAAGAAAGAAAGAAAAGAAAAACAAGACCCAACCCCCAGAAATAAGAACACCCAGGCTTATAGAAGAGGAGAGCGTCCTTCTGAGCTGGGAGGAGGGGGATGAAGAGGTGACAACCTCGGGAAGGGGACTAGAAGAGTGGGATTTACACAAGCAGAACAGCGGAGGTCAGGCCACAGACAGAAGGTGCCACGGGTAGGGCCCTAGAGAGGAGACGACAGGCGGCTGCCCGCAGGCCACGGCAGACGCTGGACGCCCTCCTGCCGCCAGACACGCCCCCAGAAGCCCTGGACCTCCTCAAGCGACTCTTGGCGTTTGCTCCGGATAAGCGGCTTAGCGCGGAGCAGGCGCTGCAACACCCTTACGTGCAAAGGTGAGACTCGAAGAGAGCGGACAGGGGTGGGAGCCCCAGTGGCTTGCTCTCCGGCAAGTTGGGTCTCGTCATGCCTGGATCCATCTTTCTGGTCCGGTAGATTCCATTGCCCCGACCGCGAGTGGACACGGGGATCCGATGTGCGGCTCCCGGTGCACGAAGGAGACCAGCTCTCTGCACCAGAGTATCGCAACCGCCTGTACCAGGTGCTGGGACTGCGGACTCGCGTCGTCCGCTTCCACGGGTACCCTCGAAGCCTCTTACTGCAGCGACCTCAGTGCCGTCCGGCCCCCTCTGAGCGCCCCTCCCATCCCGCAGATGATCCTGGAGCGGAGGGGGAACAGCCGCAGCCCTCGAGAAGAAGGCCTGTGGGGTGCGGCCTCGCGGGTAGAGCTCAGGGCTTCCCCCGCCCGGGCTCAATCGCTCAAGCCCGGAGTCCTCCCCCAGGTCCCCGCGGAGACGCCTGCGCCCAGACCTCAGAATAACCCTGCTCATAACCCCGAGCACGTGGGTGAGCCTTGCCTGCCTCCCACGCACCCCTGGCCCCTTCTCTGTAGGACCACCAACGTGCGCAGCGGGAACCTAACTCCGGGGGTTGCTCTTATGACCCCACAGAAGTCCCCAGGCAGAGCTCAGACCCCCTGTTCCAATTTCCGCCGCCAGGCAGGGGGGAAAGGCCACCAGGGGCCACAGCGCAGCCACCCTCGGCACCCTCAGGGGTAAGTCGAGGTTTGGTGGGCACGGAAGAGCCTCTGCGGTACCTTTCCGTGACCCTGTGGCGCACCCCTTCCAGGTGAAGACAAACGTTAGGGTGGTGGCACCCTCCCTGACTTCACAGGCAGCGGCTCAGGCGGCCAATCAGGCCCTGATCCGCAGTGACCCGGCCCGTTGCGGTGGGCCGAGGGCGGCCGGCGCGCGACGGGTGAGCCCGGCTCTGGCCCTTCCCAGCTCCCTCCAGTGCGGTTCGTACCCCCCAGAGCCCTGCTCCACTCTTCTCCCTCCTGAACAAGACCCTCGCCTGCGTGCAGGTCCCTTCCCGCCTGTCCCGGGAGGCCCCGGAACCCCGACCCGGTCGAAGGATGTTTGGCACCTCGGCCTCGCAGGGGGCCCAGGGCGCAGCCAGAGCTGCGCTTGGCGGCTACTCCCAGGCCTACGGGACCGTGTGCCGCTCAGCGCTGGGCCGTCTGCCTCTACTCCCCGGACCGCGTGCTTGAGCCACCCACCCGTCTCCTTGCGGCAACCTGGCACCGTTCCCCAGCCCCCAGCGCATCTCCCTCCTTTGTCACTCTGCATTCGAGTTCCGGGAGGGTTCCCCAAGCCTCTCTCCCCTAAGGGGGAGTAGATGGTAGTTTACACTCCACCCCAACAATTTTTTTCCCAATAAAGTCATGTTTTTTTTTTTCCCCCAGCCCAGTTAAGTCATCTTTCACCCACTACCACTCGAGGACTCCCTTCCTAGGTCCTAAATCTTTCCTGAGCCCCACTCTCCTGAGCGCTCCATAACCGAATCCTATATTCAGCACAAAGTACCATGTCTGCTCTCTGAGGCTTTTGCCCACTCAGCCTAGTCCTCTGGGCCAAGGATTGTGGCGCCATTCCCCACCCAGGTGCAGGTTACCAATGACTACTTAAGACTGGAGCCACATAAAGGAAAGAGGAGAGGGTGCAGCACTTCTCTTGGCCCTTGCTACCATTTGTTGGTGACTGTAGCCTCTGACCTAACCACACAGTGACAGGCTTGTCTCCAGGTCTTGATAAAAGGACAGGAAGCACTTGAAGAGGAAAATCTTGAAAGAAAAAAAAAAAAAAAAAACCAAAATCTTGAGGGGACACTACTGTTCAAAGGGCTTGGTGTAAGTTCAGACCAGATTTGTGTTGGCAATCAAGTACCCCACACAGCCTCAGAAACTGGGCTGGAGCAGAACGCAGAAAAGCCAATGTTGTTTCCCCACCTGACTAGGGAAGCTGTCTGAATCTGTTGGCCACAGTCGGGCAAATGACAAAAGGGACAAAGGTAGGGGAAGCTGGGCAGAGTTGGAACCTGCATAGCAGTGATACTGGGCTAGATGAGACAGAGGCAGGAAGCAAATGATTGGGTATAGGAGAGGGTGGGTATGATTCCAACATGGCGGAGAGCCAGTCAGAACTGGAGCCAAAAGGTTTGTCTCCTGAAGTGGCCGACTGCCAATGTGGTCAGTGCATGGTTTCAAGAGGCTGAGGCATAACTCCAAGTTGATGACAAACAGAGCAAAGGAGTCTGAGGGTGAACACCAGAAATCAGCGTGCCTGCAAGCCAAGACCTGGCTATCGGGGCAGAAGGGTTCAGGCTGGACAGGAGCTGCAAGATAAACGTTGAGAAGTGTCTGCTGGGCTTGAAGGCTGGAGAACCAGATGATGGCCTACATGATGGCCCAAAGAGCCAGGGGTTTGTATGGGGTTTGCAGGGATGGGAGACATGTTTGTGCCGGCATGGAGGATTAAGAGTTCCCCACCAGGAATCATGGTTTTCCAAAAAGGAACCTAGGAAGGCCACAGGGTTAAAGGCTTCATATAAATTGGACAGTTAAACCTATTTGGGGACATGCTGGGTTTTTTTTCTCCCCCTCATAGGATCTCACTGTGTAGCTCTGGTTGGCCTGGAACTTGCTGTGCCAGGCTGCCCCAGAACTTAAAGAGACCAGCTTACCTGTGCCTCCCCAGCACTGGGTTCTGCTGGAGTTTGTGTGCATTGTGTTTACTGTAAATATAAGAACACAATACGCTGCTTCAGAAAGGTGTGAAGGGGCGGCCAGGGGTCTCAGAGAGCCCCCCCCCCCAAGGACTACCAGCCTCCACTTTTGCAATGCAGAGCTCAACAGGTCTGAGCTTGAGCAGTGACGCACAGGACACCAGACCATGAGCTCTAAGAAGCTAGGCAGTGAGCATGCCAAGACTAGGAAACACTCCAGCTCATCCGGTTCCTAGGGGACCAGGCACACCTGGCCAGGAACCTGGGGATTTTTTTGACAGTGAAATGTAACAGCATGAATCCAGTCACTGCCCAAATCCCAGTATCCTCCCTTCTTCAGCTGCTGGAGCCAGAAGGGACTACTTAGTGGCTTTCTTTTCATGTCTTTGCTCTCTTGGGATTTCACATGAGTGTGCACACACACAACACAGGTATAAACTATTTGAAAAGAAGACAGCAGAAATATATTTCTCATTGCCTAGCAGTGTGTGTGTGTGGGGAGGACACTCTGCATTTGATGCCATGCCAAATCAAAATCTTTGGAGGTAAGAAAAGATAAACATAACCAGGGACCTTGGACAGATTCCTTTTGTTGGTGACAAATAGAAATGGATCAAGGTGGAGTGGGGGGGGGCAGGGTCTGCTGTCCCTTAGTGGTTGTTGGGGCTCAGGTTGGACGGTATTCAATCTTCTCGCTTTTGCTGAGACCCAAACACTACATACAGCCCCTTTCCAGACTTTGGCTTAGGAACTTATTGAAGCCAGGGTCACAGAAAGTCTGTCCAGACTGCTTTATTGTACTGCAAAGTCCAGTGCTCCCCACTTCTGGCTTCTCTTCAAGTGCTACCCAGAGACTGGCTGGAGAAGGCAAATGTGACTTAAGGCGGCCCCAGTAGATACTTGGCAGCTACTTCCCAGTGGCCTGCCCTGTCCAGATCCATGCCTTCTCCACAGCAGGAGGACAGAGCCAAGAAAGTGCTAGGAGGCAGTGAGGAGACAGAGTGGAAGCAGGGAGTTCCAGAGAGAGAAAGATGGAGGTGAGGAGGGACGGGAGGAGGCTGTCTCCAGAGGGAGGCTGTGAGATGGACACCCTGAGAAAAAGCCCTGAGATAAAAGGCCCTAAGAGGCAACAGAGGCATAAAGTGAGGAGTCCATGACAAGCTGGCGAATAAGGCAGAGATAAGGATCCCTGAGGTGAATTAAGCCCCAAAGTGGACCTGAGTCCAGGAGATGGTGGAGGCCTGAGGTGAGGGAGGTGACGAGGAAGAAGCACTGAGCAGAGGGGCTGAGCTCCTAGGGTGGAGAAGCCAAGAGTGAGAGGCAGTGTGGCTATCAGGTGAATTCAAGTGCAGCTCAGTTCAGGTGGTTGTCAGCCAGGTCCCAGACGGTTTTGACACCAGTCTGGCAGCCACCAGTCCATTGGGACCAGACGGGTGCTACGAGCGCTGTATGGCAGTGATGCAGAGTCCTGGCCTCCGAGACCAGAAGACTCATTTTTTGCTTTTGAATGTACCCAGAATCTTGGGAACAAACTTGCCCATTTTACTGTCTCTGGTGTCCTCATCTGCCAGGTTGTCTCCTGCCCCAGTATTGCCAGCTTCCTCCTTTTTGCAGAAGACCTCGAAGCGACTGTAGACACGTTTTTCTTTGCGCATGCTCTCCATGCGGCGCAAGAGCTTGTCACGCTCCTCTGCGCTGGCCGGCAGGGTGCGGCTCTGCCGGCCTTGTGTCCCTATGCTGTCTGAGCGGAAGATGGCTGAACACTTGTCCTTGTCGGACATGTCTGGAGTCAAGTCTCCTGCAGTTGTTGGGCGACCTAGCTCAGGACTGCTGTGAGCTGGGCCTGGAGCAGGGACTCCGCGGTGCTTCTGGCCATGGGCACTGATTTGCTCCAGAATGGCCTTCGTGTCATCTCGCAAGTTGCTGCTGTATAAGGCATTGGCAGTAGCTGAAGCTAAGCGTACCTTTGAGCTTCTCTCTTCTGCGGCAGCCTCTGTGCTGTCACCCCGACCCAGCGAGGGCCGCCGGGGACTCTCAGGCTGCCCATTTTCCTGTGGAACTGGGAAGCTGCCCTCATCCTCCCCTCGCCGTTCGCCTTTGGGGCTTAGAAACTGCCTAAGGCGGAGGGAGCCCTTTCGCAGGACTTCCATGGGACCACCAGCCACCTCTTCCGTGGGTCCTGTCTTCGAAGTCTCCCCAGCGAAGGTGAGACTGCCTCTACGCTCAGGGACAGGAGGCACCGGACTGCCCCTGCGTTCAGGCACTGGGGGCACTGGACTGGTCCTGCGCTCAGGTAGGGGCACCGGGCTGCCCCTCCGGTCTGGGTAGGGCGAAGTGGGACTCCCCTTCTGCTCAATCAATCCTGTGGTCGGGCTGCCCCTCCGAGTGGGGAATCCAGGTGTAGGGCTCCCCTTCCGCTCGGGGTGAGCAGGAGTGGGGCTCCCTTTTGGCTCAGAATAAGGCAGCTGGTGCGTTCCGGGCCCTTCAAGTGGAGGGCTATCTCGCCCTTGTGGAGACAAGGAGCGACCCTGGGCGGAGAGCAAGCGTGAAGGCAGGCGTTCTGTGCTGCCCAGCGTGTCGAGCAGCTGCGCAGCGGTCAGTGAAGCTGCTCCTGGGTGTCGCTCTGCCTCCTGATGTAATTGCTGTGCGAAGGAGTCCCGCAAATCAAGCAAGCAACTCTCAAGGCTGCGGCGCTCAGTTCCCGCTCCTCCTGGTGCTACCACCTCCTCCCGCCAGGACTGGGCCACTACAGCCTTGCTGTGGCTGGAGGCAGTGATGGGACCTCCTACACCACCAGGGTCCCGGGCAGGACCCTTGTATTTCTCCAGTAGCTCCGCCACTTTCGCCGAGGCGCTGGAACGAACAGCCTCTCCACTGGGACCCACAGTTTCACTGACTGTCTGCTCTTTGTGCAGCAGCTGTACCTTTTCTGTGGTGGTTGCTGTGGTCCCACCAGTACCCTCGGCCTGTGAGGCAAAGATGAGGGATGAGCGCAACCTGGAGCTGCGCTGGATGAGCGGATTCAAGCGTGAGCGGAAGGAGTCCTGCTTAACCAGACTTGTTTCCTCTGGGCCCTCTCTCTCGGAGCTATCGCCACCACCGCTTCCTGAGCCTGGCTTTGGTCCCTTGGCTGGGAACGGTGCAGGAGTGCGGAAGGCGGAGGGGAGCAGGTCTCGGCCTCCAGGAACCAGCACTTCATCTTCATAGGCCTCAGCCTCCATAGGCAGACCCTCCTCCCCACCATCACCATGGCAGCCGCTCAGGTAGGAAGCAACGCGCCATTGACGTAGCCCAGCCCGTCCCTCGGGTCCACCCCTGCGCTCAGGCTCCACCTCCGGAGTTGTGTCCAGACCTTGCCTCGTGGATACTTGGCATGGAAAGCGCTGACCCAGGTTGGGACGTGGGGCCCCATTAGGTTCCATACCACGAGGGCCGGTTCCAAAGGCAGGATCCGAACCGTGGCGTACCTCTCGAGAAGCGCTGGATGGAACATATTCTAGCCGTTGGTGCACATCAGCACCGAGTTCTGGGAAGCGGGGCCCAGCACCTAGTGCAAAGTCATCAGGGTCCGCAAAGCCAGGTCGGCCTGCACGAATCTTCTCGAAGAGGCCCTGCGGGCGCGTGGGTGCAAACTGTGGATCCCACTGGTAATGCTGCTGGTAGAGTTGGTCACGTTGGAAGTGGCTGGTCTGGAAACGGAAGTCATCACCATGGCTGAGGAATGTCTGTCGTGACACCTGCCGTGCAGCTGCAAAGTTCTCCATGGCTCCAGCTCCATCAGCTGCTGTGTAGCTGTGCCGCTTGAAGGCATCCATCTCCAAGTGCCGGGCCTGGAAGAAGCCCCGGTGTCCTGCTAGCTCTCCGATAGGTCCAGCCTCAGTGGGACGAGCCAGTGACCGGTGCCCTGCATGGGGCTCCAATGCACCCCCAGGCATACGCTGCAGCTCCTCACGGCGGAAGGCCGATAAGAAGTGGCGGTCAGGGTCTAGGAAAGAGGGGAAGCCCAGGCCTTCTTCCCGGGGCGGTGGGAATAGGAGGTGCGCCCGTTTAGGGAACGAAAAAGGTGTTGGTTGTCCAACCCCGGGGACGCCCACCAGAGGCCCAGCCCCAGAGTATGGAGCAAGTGCATAGGCATCCATGCGGGCTAGCATCCCAGCTGAGGGCACCAGTGGCTCTGACTGCGCGAAGAGGATGCGGAACTCTTCATCGAAGCTGGAGACCAGCTCTCCCTGGAACACATGAGCCAGGCTGCGGTGGATTTTCTCGAAGGACCACATGAAGCTGTGGGCAGGAGAGCGGAAGTCAGGGAGAGGAAGTAGGGCCACAAAGGCATCAGTTGGATAATCAGGGAATTGGGGTTTGTAAGGAGCGGGTCTGAGGGGCTGTGGCAAGGAGGGCTTTATGGGAAAGAACTGCGACCACGGAGGAAGACTCTGTGGGGGAGGGCCAGGACTGAAGGAAACCCACTGGGCATACCTATAACTGCCGCTCATCACTACAGCACAGTCCACCAGCAAGAACTTCTCCTTCAGATGGCCCTTGAATGACTTCCCAGTGCGGCAGTAATAGGTAGGCCCTGCCACTGTGCGCACACGCAGGAACTGGAAGAGAGGGGAGTCAGGTCTTCCTCAAAGGTATTTTTCCCTCCACTCCCCTGGCTTGGTCACTCACATCCACGTGGTGCAGGTTGACGCGACACTTGTCGGCCATGTCTAGGAAGTGCTGAGCGTTCATTTCATCCAGCAGGATGTAGACTGGGACTCGCCTTGCAGCGGCCTCTAGGACTTCACTGAGCAGATCCACGTCAGTGAACATGTCCATCACCACGGCAACCACCTGGGAGGAGGTGGATATCAGGTCAGCCGCAGGGAAGGGTCCTGCCCCTCTACCTATCTCCAGCCACACTTTTACCCACAAGCACTGTAAAATAACCATTAGCCCACCCCAGGAGAGTGGCCACAACTGGGAGAGCAGTAAAAGGGACCCCTGTAGAGGGTCACAGCCTATACCTTTAAGGTACTTCATGGGGTGGGGTGGGGTGGGGTGGGGTGAGGGGCTGCAATCCTGGCCCAGTGTATTCAGATCCCAAGTTGTCCTGGCAGGCTTAATGAGGGATTGGGGGGGGGGGGTTGTCACAACCTGGAGCAGGGACAGAAGCTAGGTGTGCTACCTTACCTAATCTTCCCAGGTTTTGTGGCAGTTTTTTTTTTTTTTAATACAGGCTGTTTTTTTGTTTGTTTGGTTGTTTTTTTTTTTTTTCTTTTTTTTCGAGACAGGGTTTCTCTGTGGCTTTGGAGCCTGTCCTGGAACTAGCTCTGTAGACCAGGCTGGTCTCGAACTCACAGAGATCCGCCTGCCTCTGCCTCCCGAGTGCTGGGATTAAAGGCGTGCGCCACCATTGCCCGGCCCTCCCTGGCTTTTTGTTGTTTCTGTTTGCCAACTGCTTTGGGGGTGGGTTACTCTCATCTGGGCCAGGTCTAAAGAGACCAATATGCCAATGGCCCCAAGTTTCTAGGTACTGGTCATGATTCTGGACAAGCACATATAGAGAGGCCACTAACCAAGTCCCAGGTGACAATGGACAAACTGCAGTGACTCTCCTGCTGAGGTCTGGCTGGCCAGCCCTGGCATCCCCAGCACCAGTAAAGCTTTTATTCTCCCCACACCCTCCTATTCATGTTTCAGGATCCAGCTCAGGCTGCCCCTCACTATCCATCGAGCCCATAATGCACCTGCTGGGCAGAGCGGATCATCCTCCGAGCTTCATCTTTGATGCTGGGGCTGTCAGGTGGCGGTGGCTGAACCAGTGTGGTGACCTCTGTGCCTTGGAAGCCAAAGGTCAGGGGCCAGCCCAGGTCCAGCTCAGGCACAGCCTGGTCTGAGTTCACTGGCCAGTAGGTGCCTGAGGAACCATCCATATCCACATCAGGAGGGCTGCCTTCGGGGGCTTCCCGGGCCACATATTGTGGGGGCTGCAGGTGGCGGCTCACATATTCCACTTCCTCAGGGCACAGGAAGTCAGGTGCCCCCTCAGATGCCAAGAAGCGGTTGTAGGCTTCTCTCCCACCCTCAGTCAGTGCATCCACGGCCAGTCGGTAGTATTCTTTGTAGTGAGGTGGCAGGTACCCAGGTGCCAATGGGTTGTCCCCCTGTGAGCTGCTCTGGGAGCGACGGGCCATGTTGGGGCCAGGGGCCTGGAGGGTCAGGAAGATGCGTTAACTAGTGGCAGTAGGACCCACTTACCTTACCCTCACGAATGGACACACACAGTTGCCAGAGCTGCTAGATCATGGGTATGGCTTATGCCTGGGAGATCTTTGAGGGCTCAACCAAGATAGTCTCAGAAACAGTGCTGTGGGCCATTGGCCCTAAATCCTCTTCCTGGGGCTGAGACCTTGTTCTCAGCAGGGTCTCAAGGACTGCCAGTGTTTGCCCCCTTCTAGGCAGGTAAGAGGTCCCACCTACCCCTCCTTCAGGGTCAATAGATTCGTGGCCCATTTACTTCGTGGATCTTAAAATAAGTTGTTGGTTAAGACACAAATGCAGTCCAGTAGTGAGATTATCCCCCCACTCCCCAAGCGACTGGTCTCGTTGGCCCCTGCCTCTACTGCCTGAAGATCCCAGGCAGTGTTCTGGCCTGTTACCTTCACTGTACACACCTGGGAGGGGCGGCAAGACACTGTACCTGGCCCAAGGTGAGCACAGTGGAGACTGACTCATCCGGGGTTGATGGCTTTAAACCCCACCCACACCTCTACCCTGGGCCCACACCTGTATATTCCCACAGCCCCTGCACTCATCTCCCAGCCCCAACTCCTAAACTTTCCATCTCTCGAAAAGCATCAGCCTTCACTACTGTCCCATCTCAGCCCCTCCCTTGTGGGGTCTCTACTCTATACCCTCCCAGACCCACCCGTGCTGATGGCAATAAAGGCATTCCCAAGACTCTGAATCACACCCTCTCCCCGATACGCTAAGAACGAAGGTAGGGCCTTTACCACATGGCCTGCCAAGTTGTCAGGGCCCCATTACCACGGGCGCTCCAGTACCACACTGTTCTTGTTCTTCGGTGGCTGGGGGCGAGGGGACGGACACAGAAGCTTATGCTTGAGGAAGGCATTAGAAAAAGCAACCTAACACCCAGAATCCTGCACCTCTGGCCCTGGAAGTTGCCTTAGGGCAGGCTCACCCCATTCCCCATTGCTCCTCGGGTTTGGAAAGGCTTGGGACTCTTGTCCTGCCTAGCACACAGGTTCCTGGATGTTAGTCTGGACTAGGAAAAGTAATTCTGCCCAGGAAGAGGAGTGGACCAGTGATACTGGCAGGATGGGGAACCAGCTGCTGTTATTTTGATAACATTGGGGGTCAGGACTCTGCTGTGTGTGACCCAGGGAGCTATAGTGCCTGCCATCCCTGGGGGCAACACATTAACAAGTCCAAATATGACCGAGCTTGGGGGCGGGGACACTCCTATGTCTACTTGCCCTAAGAAGAATGCTCTAAATTCCCTTTGGGGCACTGCCCTGACTGTAGGCCGTTGGTTTTCCTTCCTGTCTGCAGTGTGAGGTGTGGCACACTCTTCTGGGGAGATCAAGGCAGGCCACCTGGGGTAAGAATGCTGGCGTATGTGCTTGGGCAGCCCCCATACTGCACCCAGACTTCAGCAGGCTCACACTACCTGGAGCGTGCTCTCTTGGGGTACTTCCTGATATAAAGAAAACTGAGAACTGAAACGGTCCGGCCTGTGGACTTCTGGCGAGGAATCATCAAAGGCACAAATGGTTGGGAAGGAACCCTAGTCCTGAGTGGCCACTGTGGGACCTGGCCACCCACGACCTCAAATGCCCTTATGTTCTCTCACTGACACACATTCCCCCCTTGACTATGGACTGGCAGTGACCACTCCTATCAGCAATGAACCCCAACAGCCTGCTCGAAGACATTTGCCTATCCAAGTGGGGCCTTACTTAAGAGCCTATCCCACCCAAATCAATGACTCAGCAGGAATCTTCTGTTGCTGACCTCTGACCTGAAGCCACTCTCCAGGCCCTTCACCATTAACAGCACAAGAAAATGTCCCCTCCCCTTCTACCTGACAGGAGGTAGTGTTTCGGCATCTGGAAGTGGGGGGGGGGCATGGGGAGCACCCTGGGCTACTACACAAAGATGGTGACCGTGGCCAAGTAAGGGGTGGGGGCGGTAGGGGACATGAAACTGAGAGATGGGAATTGGTGGGATGGGGCTCAAAGACCGGAAGTTACTGAGTTACAGCTTGCGGGTTAGGCACTGAAAGGCCCCAAGGGTATTACTGTACCCCAGAAAGTTAGCCGCTACCCAGGCCAGGTGTCTTTATCAACTCATCTAGTCCAAGGATGTGGGACCAGGAGTTAGTAGACTCCAGTTTTCCCTGCCCTCCACACAGGGATTCAGCCCTGGACACCTGATTCATGGCGGCTTGGGGAGAGGCTCCGGGAAAGGTACAGGTCTTGCCCAGTTAACATCTAGGCCGCGAAGACGAGTGTGTCGCACCCTTTCTTCTGCCTCCTCCTTGCCGGCATGCCCCTAGGACACCCCTCACCCAGTACCCCGGAGAGCAGTCACCCCGTCCCCGACCCAGCCCCACGCACGCTCTCACTGCACCGCCCGGCCCAGGTCCCGAGATCAGACGCAGGTACCGCGCGAGCGGAGGTCCCGGCCTCCAGTCCTGCGCGTGGCGCAGTGCCCGGCCCGCGCCGGGGAAGGGGCCCTACCTGCCCAGGTGAGCGGGGTCTCGGCACAGGGGCAGCAGGAGCCCACCGCCGCCCAGCGGCCTCGCGGTCTGGTCCGTCCGGCAGCCACTCCCCGCCGCGGCCCGCCCGCCCGTTCGGCCTGATTCACGCGCCCGCCCCCGCCCCGCCCGCGCTCTGCCTCCTGCCTGCCCGGGCAGCACCTGGGCGGGGCGGCCCCACCCCGACGCGCCCGCATTCCTGCGCCCTCCGCGGCCCGGACCCCGGCCGCGACCCCCGAGTTCCCCAGTCTGGCCTCGCTTGCGCCCCCGGCCCCCAGCCCCAACTGCGACCCCCGAGCGCTCCGGTGGCGCCCCAGAACTGCGCCCCGGACTCTGGCCAGCGCCACTCGGTACTGCCGGCGCTTCTTCTTTCAGGACCCCGAGGTTCCTTGAACCCATAGTTCAACGGGTAGTGCGAACGGATAGTTCGAAGCCCCTACTGCCGACCCCTGACCCTCGCCCCGGAAGTTGGGGTGACTCGGAAGTTCCGGCTTAGTCGCTAGGAAACTGGCCAGCCCGACGTGAGGGGCGGGGCTTCTGGCCTCCACGTTGCGAGGGGCAGGTGAGGCAGGTGAGGCCGCAGACGCGCGGGATGACCGCCTTACAGCACACAGACACACCTCTGGTTTCCCCACTTCACTCCCTGCAGGCTCGTCCTCTCACAAGAGACCGACGGCATAGGAACTCCACGCGCTTTCCCACCCATATGTCCAACCACATAGGGGATTCTGTGCGCTCACACCCCTGTACCCAAGGGACCCCCTCAGACGCAAGGGGACCTCGGATGACCCACAAGCAGAAGCCCCTCCGCCACACAGAATCCCGCACACCAAGCTCCACCCCTCATCTCACGTTAAGAATCCCTCCATGAACCCTCCCGCCAGTGGTCCTGGCACCCACTGATGGTGTCTTCCCGCACACCAGCTAAAGGCACGGGGGTCTCTTCTTCACACCTGTGCATTAAAGAGTCTGCGCTCAGGATACTGCAACCCTCTGTAGACAGGAAACCTCATGTACATATCAACCCTACACATAACCCAGACACCTAAGGACTTAGTTCCTCCTCGGTCCCTAGTCTGCCCAGTTTTCCCTCCTTGGCCCTGGCCTTAACTCAGTGTGTCCAAGCCAGCTCCCCATCCACCAGTTCTCCTGCCCCGAGTTCCCATTGTCTGTAAGACAGCCTTCGGTCACTTTCTGGCCCTATTTTCAGGATAACATTTTATTAACTTTATTCCCAAATGTTCCTGTGGCACCAGCGGGGTGGGAACATAGGTGTATGGGTTGCGCTACCTGAGTTTCCTATTCGTTGGGCCCTAAGAGGGGTTCTAGAGCCCTGGAGAACTCTAACGCAGGTTGGAGTGGAAAGAAGACTCTTCCTAGGGGAATGAATGGGGTCACACACCTTGTATACTAGAGGGAAGAGCATTGCTTCCAGAACCAGACAGCAGTTTTCTGAGGCAAGAAGGAGATGGGGTGTGAGGGTGGAGAGGGGTTTGGGTTCAGCATACCCAGGTTGGGGGCAGTTGAAGCCATGCCTGCCTAGCCCAGGCTGTTCAGCGGGTAGCCCAGCAATTTAGAAACTAGTGCCAGAATGCAGATCTGTGGATTCCAGCAGAGTGGGCTGAGGCAGGATTGTAGAGGACAGGCACACAAGCATAAAGAGAGGCATCCTCTTGCCAGGAATCCTTGCTCAAACTGCTGGACATATACTCAGATAGCCAGGGGCAGGCAGGTGGACCAAGAAACTGACTGGGAAATGTGCTAGAAGCCCAAGCTCCTGCTGCGTGCATGCTCACCCGGGGCCAGGGCAGCATGTCCACTGCCTTGCCCTCTGCCGTCCTGAACATACCCTCCCTGGACTTTTCCTTCCCACCCTCAGGAGAATGAGCAGTAAGAAGGGGGGGCCCAAAGCTGCACCGGAGAAGGGGCAGGCGCCCCTCCCTGGGTCCAAGCTTCGAGCTGCTGCTGGTGAGTGCACCCTCTGACCTCCAGGGCACTGCCCTAACACTAATCTGAGACCACTAGGTACATAGGGCTCCTCTGAGAAACCCTTCTCTCCAAGTTACCTTCAGGGGATCTATCTCTTAGTTGGGCTTGGGCACGATAGATTTGATGATTTAAAGATCAGACATCCACTGTAGCCTGGACCTCTAGAGCTGGGGTGGGGAGTGGGCACAGGGCTCAGCAGGGCATAATGTTAGAGCCCCTGGAGGTAAGAAAGGGGTCAGCGGGAGACTGGAGGGGCAGATGGTTTAAAAACAATATTGAAGCAGGGCGGTGGTGGCACACACCTTTAATCCCAGCACTTGGGAAGCTGAGGCAGGAGAATCTCTGAGTTTGAGGCCAGCCGGGTCTATAGAATGCGTTCCAGGATAGCCAGAGCTACACAGAAAAACTCTGTCTTGAAAACAACAACAACAACAACAACAACAACAAAACCAATATTGAAAAAGAGCAGGGCTTGAATCCAAGCCGGGAATCTTGGTGAGAAGCGCTTGTCTGCTCATTGTCCCACAGTCCCACCTCACCCTTTCCCCTTCAGATCACCTCTCCTAGCATTCCCCGGCTGGAAGGTTACAACTGGGCTGGCTTCATAGAGCATCAGAAAATACTCTCCTGTTCCCTGTGCCTACCCTCCTTCAGCCCTTATCACCCCTTCACTCTTGCTCCCATTCATTCTGCCACAGCTGTGAGCATCCTCCAGGCTGTCTCTGGCTCTGCACCCAGACTTGCCTGGAGTTTGTGCCTGCTGCAAGAGTACCCACCCAGACCTGGATGCGACCCCGCATCTTAGACCAGGCAGTGCCAGATTCCTTGGCTCTGGCAGGACGTGGTGACTACACACCACGCTGGGGTGAAATCCTAGTTGCCCAAAATAGCCCCAGCTGCGTCTGAGGCCAGTCTTCCTCCTGGAATGAGGATAATGGGTACCAGCATTGCGTGCTGCGTCTGTGATCTCAAGCCCTGGGCACCAAGCTGAAGTAAACAGGGGGCAGGGCGTGTGGACCAGACAAGAAGCTGTCCAGCATACTTGGGGTGGGGACTGTGTCTCATTTCTGTTGCTGTCTGTCAGCTGTGCACCCAGCTCTCACCCCATACGGTACTATGCATGCTGCCCTGGACAGCTCCTGTAGCTTATGCCCTGGTCCCCTGACACCTCCATCCCCAAACAAGCTCCCCCCCCTCCCCAATGGCCTCTGCCTACCAAGCACTGTGTGGTCTAGTTAGGCTTGTTGTCCTTTGTCTGGGCAAACATTCTGCGTAGTGGGCATCAGCCCCTCCAGGCTTACAGGCCCTCAGAGGTTCTGCAGCCACCCTGCCTCCCAGCCCTCACACATCTATAAGATCCTAGAGTGTCCTCTGCACCATCAGACTGCCCAAGCCCCTGCCCAGAGCCCTCTAGGCCTTACCTGGCCTTGGGTTTGCAGTGCCTCCAGGCCCTCACTCCGAAGCTGCTCCAGGGCCACAGCCAGCTGCAGCCCCTCCATGTGCACCCAGGCCTGCTCCTCCTGCAGCTGCTGCAGCCACAACTGCTCCTCCTGCAGCTGCTGCAGCCACAACTGCTCCTCCTGCCACAGCTGCATCTGCAGCTGGACCTGCCGCCTCCGGTCCTCCAGCAGGAGTTGCTCCTGGGCTAAGCATAGCTGGACTTCGTGGAGTCTCAGCAGTTCAGGGCCCAGGGCTGGCATGTGGGCCCCAGCTCCACAGCCCTCCATGAGCTCAGGGGCCAGCACCAGCTTGGATTCCACAGCTGTGGCCTGAACTGGCCTCCAGGCTGCCTGTAGCTGCTCTGGCCTTGTGGCCCTGGAGTTTCCCTGAGGAGCCGGCTGGGTGCTGGTCACGTGCGCTGTCAGGGCCACCCCCACCTGGTCCTGAGGGCCCCCTGTGTTGGGGGGCGGGGGCTCAGCCTCAGGGTGCTGCTGCCCAGCTGCCCGCTGGGCTCTGCCCACCCTCTTGCCTCGGGGCTTTCGAGCTCGACCTCGTTTCCCAGACATGGCCAGGGATCCAGTGCTTCTTTCACCAGGTGTCTGCTCCCCCAGGGACCTGGCTCATCCACTGGCCTTGTTGGGGAGCTCAGAGGACATCCCAGAGGCCACAGTAGGCTGCTTGCTCTCAGCCAGGCTCAGCCCTCTCTGTTCCTGCTGTCCCAAGTGACTGCGTTGCCCCTTGGCCTGGTGTCCGCAGCACAGCACCGGGCCCTGACTCTGCCTGTAGGCCCCACAGGCCCCACTCTGTGGCACTGGGCCACACCAGGGAGTTTATAGGGACTTTGGCGGCACAGTGGCTCACCCTAGTCGAGGAGGCTGACTAACAACGTGCTGACACAGGGTGCGGGACTTCACAGGCCACAGACTTCACTGGCCAGACTGGGAGGGAGACTAAGAAACTGGGGGCGGCTCTCAGTAGCTAGACTGCCGCTTAAGGACGTGCCTGGTCCTGCCTGGGCGTCACCAAGGCCCCCCACCCCCTTCACCCCACCTCGGTCGCGGGAAACTCAAACTGTCCACAGAGCCAAGAGCTGCATCTCAAATGCACCAACCCTGAATGCCCAGACCCTCACTGACCATAGACCATCCCGACCCAACTGACCACTAGAGCCCCAAACCTACCCAGATGAACCCTGCTGCACTTGAGCTGGCCCGGGGAACTTGCCAGAGATGAAAGGCCGCCATAGCCCCAGCATGAAACACTCGGGCCACACTATGGGCTAGTGAAGACACTGAGCCTTCAAAAGCCTAGCTAAAGCGAGTCTAGCTGTCTCCTAGGATGGGGTGTGGGACCTGACTACTGTCATGATTAGAAGTCCAGCTCCCCCTTTGAATTAAAACAAGACCCAAGGGACCCTTACAAGGCCCACCTGTTAGTCCCAGGGGCGAAGCTGGGGGTCCAGGACCAACTCTCATCTGAGCCTT